TGATATTTAAATTGAAAAAAGTCTATGGATTCAATCCAAGTTATCATAGAATTTGAAAGGGGAAAAAAGGAAAACTAAACTTATAAACAATGCAAAAATATGCGAGTCATGAAAATATTTTTTTATTAAAGAATGGATATTTTATCGACAGAGTTAATGACATCTGAAACCTTTAAGATAAGAAACATAAGAAAAAAAATTCATACATCATAAATTCTTATTTTCATGCTTGTTTTCTACATACAGAAAAAAAATTTGTTTATTACAATTTAAATAACATAATTATATAGTTGTATTAGTTAAATATTAGTTGAACTTTCAACTAATTCAGTTTATCATTAGTATTATTTTAATTTGAGAAGTTTTAGTCAACACGAATATTAACAAATTAAGTTAGTTTTTCTAAGGTTTAAATTTCTAGAGAAAATTTTAATGATGAATGTAATAAAAATCACATGTGAAATACAACTTTGAAACTAAGGAATAAAAATTAACTACCTTATTAAGAGATCAATAGAAATTGAAAAACGATATTAAAAATAACGAAAATTATGAATCAGTTTCAAAAATTATGACAGAAAACATAAATGAAATAACAAATAAAACCGAACTAATAATAATTTTTTTTATCAAGGAATAAAATTCTTATTGATAGATCTGAAAACTAGTATAACAATTCAAAAATAATGATATTTGTAATTTTAAATATTTAGAAAAAAAACTTTCATAAATATTAAATTTTTATTTTCATGTTGTTTTCTTAATGCAGAAAATATTTAGTTTATTATAATTTAAATTAACACAGTACATATTATTGTATTTGCTAAACATAACATTAGTTGAACATTTGTATAATTACATCATTATTATTTTTAGTTTGCGAAGTTCTATAGTCAACACAGTTTTTACAAATAAAATTAAATTTTCTTAGATTAACATTTTTAGCAAAACTTTTTATTATTATTGCAGTAATCAATATTGCAATTTAAACTCAACTGTGAAACTAAAGAATTAAATTCAACAGCTGTATAATAAAAATCAGTAGAAATTAAAAAAACAATATTAAATACCATGAAAATAATGAATCGTTTCAAAAAATTATGATGAAATTTCGCTTTATAAATAGGGTGACCAGACGTCCCCGATTTCCGGGGATTGTCCCCGGCGAGGACCTCGTGTCCAGGGCCTGATTACCGGAAAGGCACAGGAAGCATGTGCTTCCCCTGTAAAATTCTAGGGGGGCCCCCAAATGACTGAAATTAAGGGCCCAATTTCTTACTTTTTGCAACAAAAAAAATTAATAATAAAAGAAATAAGAAGAAAAAAAAATTACTCCAACAAAAACTCTATGAAAGAAAAAAAATGGGATGCTTTGTGTTGTTTTGCCGCTAGTAAACAAATTGGCATAAAAAAAGAGACTAATCTTGCAAAGAACCTTTAGTATAACAACAAGTAATTTTATAATTTAATTTACTGAAATATTTAAATTTTGTTAATATATGTGCTAGCTACTCCCTCAGGTTTTTGTTACTATAAAGCACGTAAAGAAGGGTCCAACATGATTGCATAAGATCTCTGTACATCCTTTCTAAGGTTCTGATAGTTTTCACATGATTCTTGTCTCTTTAAAATGCATTGTTTATGGGCGAAAAATATCAAAAGTTTCTTTTGCTCAAGTTAGGGGGGCCCCAAAATCCTATTATGCTTCCCCTATTTTCAGAGTTTAATCGGGTCCTGCTCGTGTCCCCGGTCTGTTTGCGTCCCCGGTTTTGTCCCCGGTTATAAAATTGAAAAATTTTGTGTAAAATATTTGATAAAAATATGTTATATGTAATTTTTATTTTCTCAAAAATTTTCATACAAATTAATGTAAGCATTGAAAATTAAATATAAACTAGNCTTTTTTATCAGTCCATTAAAAATTACTTTTTATAGTATGTATTTTGTTGTATGTTATGTAAGTAAAAACATTAATAATGGTTTACAATTGTACAATCATAGAATATAAAATGAACAAAAATTCAATAATAATTGGAATAAAAAACTATTACTTGATAACATTTATAAGTTCTTCAATAATGTATAATTTTTTTAATATGATTTTTAAAAATGTAAAAAAAAGTCTATTTATTTAACCGCAGGCGATAGCCGAATAAATTATCTACACTCAATCAAATTTCTATCATTACAACATAATTCGATTAGGAGAAATAAAACATTACATCAAAGAAAATATGAATGAGTGTTTATCAAATGCTTGTAAAGCATAAAAAGCTTTTCGAACGTCAAATTTAGTAAAATGTTATCACAGCTAAGCTTTTTAAGTTGATGTTTTTTTAGGTCATGTAATATTTTTAATCAGCTTAACCAAGAATAAAACACATGAATGGCGACATGGTTCCGGTATTTAGTCGTAGTTAACAGGAAAACGAAGTTTAGATGAAACAACCAGATTGTGTTTCAATTTATAACTAACTCTAGGAACGCCTACTTAACCTTGGTTAGTTTAGCTGAAAAATAATGATTAATATAACAGTTTGGAAGACTGCCGATTACGTTTGACATTATTTAACATTATTATGACAGCTTTTTTAACATTATTTTTTCTATTTAATATTCTAAATTTAATGAAAGTCATCCACATTAACACCTACATAAAGTAGGATAATCGTGTTTACGCTGTCAATAACTGAGATTAAAATTTAAGATTAATGAGTAGATTTTGATCAATTTTGATTCAAAATTATTATTCTAATATTCAGGTTTCAATGTAATATAATATTCATATTTTAGTATGATATTCAAGTTTGAATTATAAATAAAATTCCTAATATTCTATATTTATACATATGTTAAATTTAACTAATATAAGTATGAAAAGCAGATTCATACACTCTTTTGAATAAATCCATATTTCATTCCATTCATTCTTCATTTAAAAAGTTCTAACTTATGTAATTAAAATAAAACTGTTGAGTGTATGTACAAATTATAAATTAGTTCATGATATTTTCTTGTGTTTGTTTATTCACATCAGATAACAGATTTTTGTTTTTTTTGTTTGACGATCTGTATTAACCTGGCATGATAGAAAATTAATTGACCAAAAATATAAATTCATCTTATATTTATTCGACTTAATTTTATAATACACATAGAAGTAAATAAACAATTAAAAACATCGGCATAATAACACTGTCATGCAATATTATAAATAGCACTTTAATAAAATTTATTGATGATAATTTTATAAAAAACTTTTTTTATTATATCGAATGTTTAGTTTTTAATTCTCTGAATAAAGTCATTGACAAGTTCAGTAATTTTTTTTTCAATGTTAATGATAAAATCAATAGATTTTTAAATTAGTTTTTATTTTTGTAATTTAGACAAAGTCAGGGAGAAATTCTTACTCGCCTAAGCTGCAAGTTCGTTTGCGAAACGTAATGAGAAAAAGTGAATCAGTTAAAAGTGAAAATAGTTAATCATCCTTTTTACCTTTAACCTTTTTATTTGCTCAGAGTCCGGATAAAATAAAATAAACAAATAGATTTTCTTCTTCTTCTTCTTTTTTTTTTTAACTGAAAGCTCGACTTGAAGTGGCCACTTGAATTAAAAAGCAGTGAAAGTATAACTTGTTTCCCGCCAAGACCGGCTATCTAGTCCCCACCCTCCCCATCTACCATTACACACTTGTTGCTTCTCTGCCACACTAAAAACGCGGATAGTAGAATAGAGTTGGTAGAGTGTCGAGGAACTCTGAGAGAGCAATGTTACGTTCATTCAGGAAAAAAAAAAAATTAATTCTACTTGCCTGGCTGTGATTCTTTTGGTTTCGTTGTGTGTGGTCAGCTATATCATTTGTGCTGTCTTGACGGAAATAGTGTAAATCAAACATGCGTTCAGATAAGGACGATACAAATGCATTTTCCTCTTGATTAAATTTTGGAGATCGTTTGCTAAAACTTAAGTTATTCACTACAAAAAGTTTAGATGAACAGTACATGAAGTTTAATTTATCGTTTGCTTATTTGATTCTGAGGATAATCTAACATGGAGAAGAAAAAGTGACTCATGTTGTGATCAATGAAAATGGAGCTTAAGTCTTTTTCGAAAAACAAAATTGCGTTTTTTGATATATTTTAATTTTTAAAAATGAATTTTTATAGTTTGAAGTCTAACAGAAGAATTTCAAAAATGTGGAATGTCATCAAATAGTTCTCATTAATGTGGACCTGGTGTATTGAAAGATGATAATTTTTGATGCCTTTTTGTGAAATTAAAAGTGTGCTTTTTAATTGAACTCAGTGATAATTTTCATGAATTTTATTATAGTTCCTGGAACTCCAGTATGCTTAATTTTCATTTTTCATACATCAACCTTACTATATTAATAATGTGTCTTGTAGCGTATGGTCGTGTGTCTAGGAAAGGCAAACGTTATTATAATAGGACGTTTTATGAAAATCAATATTATTACTCTCTGGATAATTCGTGGGATTCTGGTAAGTTAGAATTTTATTTCGAATTTTCAACAGTTCAACTCTGTTAGATATTTATGCTAGTTTATAAAAATACACTTTAAAATACAAAATAACTACATTGGTTCTTTATTATTATTATTTTTAATTATTCATGTATTATGGGTAGCATTTTCGAACATCAATTTTATGTTTGCTTTGGCTGGCAGAAAAAATTTAAATTTTGATGTATAATTGTAGGGTAAAAAACAGTAATTGTGAGTAATCTGCCTATAATTGTTTAAAGATTTTGTACTGTGTTAAAATATAATGATTATGGTAGTTAGCGTGTAACAAAATTTTATTTCTAAAGATTAGTATACATAAAAATAAATGATACATAAAGTTCACATTCATTTTAGGTGTGGACAGCCTACTTAAGTTACACTACATTATTTGTTTAATTTGCGAAAACATCTAAAACATTTGAAGGAGCTAAGAATGTGTACATAAATTGTACTTGAATTTTTATTTATATTTTTTATAGCTTTGCTGAAATTTGAAATTGTATCATTTCATTTATTAGTGCATCAGGGGAACAGTTTAATTTTATTTGCTAAATGAAATTGTCGAAATGAAATAACACCGATAAATTGTTGTTTGTTACCTAAAAGAATATAAATCTCTTAAATCTATATTAATATGAATAAATCTCTTGCAGTTTAAAGAAGTTAGAATTTTTTAAATATGTATTTAAAATAATGAAATGCTTTAGTGACTTCACAGTGCCTAACTTTTTCTCGACCCCAGTTACCTCATTTGAGGTTCAAACAAGTAATAAAAGGACATTTTTTTTGTTTAAAACTGTTTTTTATTTTATTAATTTCGACCGCGTGTCCTAGACTCTCACTTTCTTTATACAACGTTTTAGCCTAATAATTATAGCGAAAAATAAATTATTAAATAAATAAAAATTCGAAATTAATACCCAAGGTATTTTTTTTTTTAACAAAAATCTTTGTTGTGTTATTATAAATGATGCCTGAAAACTTTCCTTTCTGCGCTTCTCCCTTTTTTTGAAGAAAATGAGGGTGATTTGAGGGAGGAAATTGAATTTCTTTTAGACAAGTAAGTGAAACATTGTATCCGATAGGTTTTTTTTTCTTTTTATACGGTAAGTTTTTTCACTGTTAGAAGTTATTTAATCGTTTTATCCACAGCAGAGTTCTCCCTGGGAATAAAAAAGAACAAGGTGCTTTTACATAAAAAGGCCCTTTGAATTTTAAAAGGGCACTCACGTACCACCGTCAAAATTTATGAAAATGTGCCATATTATGTAATAACTGATTTTGATCCTCAATGTTTAAATTACCCTTTAATACTATTTTAAGTGTATATTTCACAAAGTAATTCGCGTCCATTATGAAAATAATAGAAGAAATTGAAGCTGTTGAAAAATAATTAAAGGTAAGCTAAAGGACAATCTCTGTGTCTAAATTTTCTTCAAGAAAAAAAAAATAAATAAATAAAAAAAAAATAATTAATTTATTTACAACTTTATTACTTTGTTATATTTTAAACTGAAAGTTATGACAAAATTAACATATAAAAGTGCATTTTCAAATAAAAGGAATTTATTAATAGTAAATAATAGTAAAATTTAAAATCACTAAAAAATTCAAATTTCCCTCCCCCCAAAGAAAAGATGTGAATATCTCTGGGGCCAAATATCATGCGAATTTTAACTATATAACTGGACAATATAAGAAAAATCTTACTAAAATGAAGTAGTGAAATTAAAAATTAAAGTAAAATAATTATCAATAACTTAATAAATCAGAAGTGGATATGAAACTAAATAAACATGTGGTTAAAAAAACAACCTTTTCCTGAAAAAATAAAATAAAAAAGGCAGTGTTTTTAGGGGATGGTGGCTTATTTTTACAAAAAGGGCAAGGAGGGAGCTTTTAGAAAGATCAAAGGGGTAGGCCTCTCTCTCTTCTAAAAACGTCACTATATACAGAAAGTACAAAATTATACTTGTACCTATTTGTGCATCTGATATTTCTGTCGAAACAAGTGAGTAATTGTTTCCTAAGTATTTTATCACATTGAATCGATTGAAACTACATTAATCAATAAAACGAACAGTTCAAAATTTGCAAGAATTTTTATGTGTAAAATGTTCTATATTTCATATGACAAAAATAAATTTTTTACTTTGATATCTGGGGGGTATCTGAAAATGTCATGCCATTTTTCTATGTTGGTTATCATTCTGAATTAAGTGATAAAATTCGAGTAATTAGTATAAATAGTTTTTAAAGTTATGAGAGGTTTCTTCCCGATAAATGCAATTCAAAAATGGTACTCTTCATACAAAAAAAAAAAAAAAAAAAAAAAATTTACAAATATTAACCTTTGTGACTCGTGTTTTTTCTCATTCGATTGAGCTAGAAAAAAAGCTTAGTGGTGGAAAATCTACTTTTCCGAACAGTATTGTAAAATGCTTAAATAAGTGCAAGTACAAAGTTGTACTTTTCGTGCCTAAAACCTATTTTATCTTGTCGATTACTATTTTATCTCATTTGATTTAGCATGAAAAATACATAGAAAATAATGCTTTTTTTGTTTAGATATCAATAGCAAATGCGTAAACAGGTACAGGTACTAATAAATTGTACTTTTCGTTCTTTAATCTCCACTATTCGTTATTTAATCTCCACACTTCTAAACTATTAGTTTGGTCATCTCGGGATTGGTTTCATGCAATTCAGTGTGAAAAAATGCATCTGAAGCAGCGCCTCACTTACCTCTCTAGAAGAAATTAATTTCTTCCCCTCTAATCTTTCCCGATTTCGCTAAAAAAAAAGAAGGAAAAAAAAAGGAAAGCTTAGAGGAGTGAGAGTGGGGGAGTTTTTAGGTATTAGGTATTTAGGTGAGTTTTTAGGTATAATAACATAAAGATTTCTGAGTAAAATCTTGGGTATTAATTTTTCTGAAGAAAAATTCTAATTTTACTGGACTATACTGGATATCACACTCGCTAAATTTCTTCAACTTTCAACTGTTTGCTTTAGCAGGATGTGTGTTGCTAATGAATTTTACATTGTATTACAGTGCGCGAAATAGGGAACTAATTTTTAAGTAAGCAATTAAAAAACAAATTAAGACATTACCTTTGGCAGCACAAAAAATGTGTATTTTAGTTAGCTACTACTATCAAGAGGGATTTCACGCAATGACACGAGAACGAGTAACACAGGTTTGTTAATCTGTTAAGATTTACATAAAATTTTCTAGTACTAAACAGAAATATCCAGATGACCTTTTAAATAACACCGTAAAGACATCAATTCGTTCAAAATAATCTCCCTTTCTCCAAAATAATCTCCCTTTTTCCTACTAGTGTCTCTCTCTGTGCGGATGAACAAACTTTGTCAGAAAAGTAAATAAGGAGAAAAAAAAACTTATATACCTGTATTTTATCGAAAGTTGCAGAAAAAAAAGTGTAATCCGATATTTGCAGGTGTTCTTACTTTCTTTTTAATATTTTCTTTGAGCACAAATTTTTGATGGAGTTCTAAAAGAATGTGAGAATCAAACGATCAAATTTCTGAAGATTTATGTGTTTTTTAATTCATATATGTTTAACCTCGAAGTGAATTGAGCGAGGTCCGCGAAGAGATGTAAAAACAATGCCGTTAACCTTTCTAGATGTGTTAAAATAATCTATAGAAATCGTGAAATGTATCGCTTAAGAACACCTGCAGGTGCAGCTTTTTGATGCTTAAATTATTTTTCTTTTTTTTTAAAAAAAAGGAGTGGCTTATAAAAAAATGACTTATTGCAATGACTGAAGAAAGAGAGTCGAAATTGCCACTATTGCCTCTAATTCGCAAATATGCATACGCCTTCAAAATGTAGATAATGATCAAAAAAGTGGTCTGACTCATTTAATAACAATTTTTTTTGTCTTATAAATATACATTACCTTTTTATATATTTTTTTTATTTACGGCCGTGAATTGTCTCTTAGTTTAATGGATAACATGTCGGGCTTCTTGTTAATCATTCTCCTTTTCATTATTGTAGATCATTTTCCCCAGCCATATTTTTGCATTTTATTCGACGCACTGCCATTATTTTACCATAATTTATTACTTCAATTAATTCCAGTGGAGATAATAAGCTCCCAAAAGAAATTAAATTGTTACATAATTAAGTAGCTACAGTCAGCTATACTGATTTGTGTTCCTTGCAGCAAATAAGAATCTTAAATTTGTTTACAAGCATAAATAAATTATATATGTATTTAACTTTGTTCTGTCGATATCTACAAAATCTCCATATCTGTTTGTTTTATTTCCTGGAAATAATTACACATGAGTTTCTTGAAATGCAGTGTAGGAATTTTTCAGATGTCTCTGTGAATTTTTTAATTAGCTTCTAAAGATAATTATTTTTTTTATTTTCTATCAAAATTAACAATCGTAAGGGCCGCCGACGCTGTTATGAATGTTGAATTCACTTTACATTTTGTTTGTTGCAATTGTTTGGTAAAAACTATAAGCAGGGGTTTGTTCAGACATTTTGTGAAAGGTCCGTTTTTGTAAAATTGTGAAAAATTACTCGTAATTCGTGAATATAAAATAAGCGTTAAGTCACATTCTTTCAACCAGGGTTCTGCTTTTGTGAATTTGTACAAATAGGGTCCTGTTATTGCAAAAATCTTTTTCAAGGAGTTTTTAAATTGTAAAGAGATACAAGATTATGCTCAACACTAAAAATTATAATAAAAAAAAATTTATTTTAAAAAATAAACAGCAATTGCTGCTACTAAATTAGAGATGCAACTTACAAATATTTGGTATTTAGCCTTTACTGCTGAACGCAGAATATTCATTCCGGACGTTTAAATGAAGAAGCGTCTGCTGAAGACAAAACTTAGTTTGTTTACATCTGTCTTTCTTCCCCCCCCACTCCCCTGGGAAGGGTTTATTCGATTAACAAAACAATAATGAAGATAAACAAATTTGTGAAGGGTCCGTTTTTAAGATTTAGAAAAGATATTTTGGGAAAGGTCCGTTAACAGACCCAAATTTCTTCCAAACAGACTTAGAAAATTGAAAGTATAAAGGTGTGTAGAATATACAGGGAGTACATTGGAATAGGAAAAAAAAAAAAGAAAAAAAAAGAAAAAGCTGGATAATTATTGACAGTTAAACTTGTTGGGGAAAAAAATACCATGTTTGGTCAATGTGTAGCCCGCTGAAATGCAACTACGTGGTTGAAATTTGACGATTTTTATTTTTGAATTTAATCCATATTTTATTACGAAATTCTTATTTGTTCGAAAATTATTGCAAATTTAAGTGTTTTTTTTCCTTAATTTTTTTCCAGCTTTTTTGTTTCAAATATTAAATGTTTATCAACTGTAAGTAGTTCATTTATTTCCCACGAGATATTTATTTTATAAACTCGTGTTTGAGTAGATGTCAATCAAAAATAGCAAAGAGAGAGATTACGTATTGCTATATTTATACTGAAATTAAAAAATAAATAAATAAGTAAAAATTAATAAGGAACAATAAAATCCGTTTTCTATTTGAATTATTATAAGTTTCGTCAACAAATAAAATTACTTCTAATTTATTTCTTCTTGTAGAGTAACACATTCTGTATTCTTTAGATTAAGAAAATTTTTATTTTTCATTTTCAAATAATTATTTTTGAAATCCCGTTAATTCTTTATTTCGTTATGATTAACATGTTAACAAAATGTTCTTACATAAAGCAATTAAGAGGTTTGGCGGGCAGAGTCTTCTAGTTTTATTACAAAATCGATCTATTTGATTTGTGAATCGTGTACACTTTTTTTAAAATCGAAATACAAACATATTATTCTGTCGAATGTCTGTAGCTTGTAAGTTTTTCATTAGTCATTCAATGGAATGCCCAAGCAATGTGTGAAATCGTTTCATACTTTTCCGATGTGCCATGTCATTCAATAGAATTTCAAGAATGTGAAATATTAATTTTGCATCTTAGCTGGTTGATAGGTGTTAAAATGCCGGATTTCATACATTAACCGCGATACATACTTAAGTAAAATTTTAAAAAATCGATTAAATTGTAACTTCATGAAAACGACCTGGAAATCGGCCATATCAAAATTTAATATCGCCATACATCATCAGAAGAAAAGAAAAAGCGAAGATAGTTATATTTTTTTTCAATTTTACTAATATGCATTGCATTGGTTAATAGTTTTGTGACCCAAATTTTATTTATAAACAATTCAGATACCATCATATTCGATGGGTATGGTTATTGAAAAAAAGCCCAACATTATAGTATTAAGTATTCATCATTATCGATAGTGATATTGTCGTATTTGTTAATACCCCCGATACCGTAATACCCCCGATATTATCGTATTCAATTTTATCATTGTTTGTGATTATTATGATATCTCCGTTGTTGATAATAAACGCAAGAATGGTATAGTCACTAACGCTAAAGTACTTTTTAAACTATCGTTACCTCGGTTTTTATAATGTACCGATATTTCTCGAAATATTAATTAATTGCGCAGTTCTAGAAGTCGGAATGATAGTTTCTGAGATAGTATTATAATAGTAAGATGTTTTAATGAGATTCTAATATTTCGCTCATTTCGCTTAAACAATTTCACTTGCACATTTCGTTTGACATTTAAATTTACATTGTTTAAAATACAAATTAGTGGACTGCGAATTGGCATATTTTATTAAATCTGATATAGTAATTGAAATTAATGATTCAAAGCTTTTATGTAACATTCTGGCTATTTTTCAAAATAGCTTTATTAATAATAAAACTCATGAACATTCTATAAATTAGATATTTCCTTTCCCTAAAATTAAAATACACTAAATATAATTCTCCCCTAATTTAACTACAGTGTTTTTGTTTGTTTGTTTTGTTATTGTGCACTAATGCTGACATTTTTATTCTTATGAAGAAGTGTTTTAAAACGTAGTTAGTCTTAGAAATTTCCTTTCCCCCCTTTTTTTAAACATATTTCCCCCCTTTACAATAAACATATTTCATAATTTATTAACAAAAAGCGAATTTAATTTTTTATTTTGTATAGATTTTATTTTGTATATTTCTTCATTCTTTTCCGTTTTTGAAAAGATGTTGATTATTAAAAGTTTATATCCATTAAATAAAAATAGGTTTTTGTTTTTACTAACGATACTGAAAGTTAAAATATTTCATGTTAAATAAAAATAGATTACAAGAAAAAAAACATTTATTTAGAGAATTTTTTTAATTTTATAAAATAATTTGATAATTAATTTGTCGTAAAATTAACTTTGAATTTCTTTTTAGACATATTAATTAATTAATTTTATTATTTCAATACGAAAAATTTTACTTAATAAAAAGAAACGAAGAAGCTCCATACATAGAATATTTTCCGCTCTAGAAGATAATGGTAAGGGAAGAAGAGAAGCAAGATGATTGGGAATGAGAGATAGAAATGTTTGACTTTTCTTGTCATTCCTGTACTTCAAAAACGCTGGTAGATGGCGCCAGCTTATTATCCTATTGATTTCTTGTTGAAGTTTTTTTTTTTCTTCTTTTCTTTTTAATGTTGGCAACAAAATATTACTTGACTGTTTGTTTACACGACTGTTAAAGAGAAGTGGATATTTCGGATCTGATTTATTTCCTTTTATATAATATCTATATTTCTCTTTCAAAATTATAATTCTCCGCCATGGAAGAAACTGATTTCGCCGGCGACGAAAATTCTGTGGAAGAAACTTTTCAGCGTGCTATAGATTTTGTTACTGGTAATGCGTCAGTGATGCAACAAGACGATCTGTTATATCTTTACGGACGTTACAAACAAGCACTATGTGGCCCTTGCAAAGAACCGATGCCGGGAATTTTAAAATTTAAGAGTCGGAGTAAGTGGACATCGTGGCATAACTTAGGAAACATGTCAAAAGAGGAAGCCATGCAGCAATACATAGATTGTGTCACCAATGTCAGTAGTGATTGGGACTCGAATCCTAAAGAGTCAGCTAAGAAATCCCGGATCGGACCTGTCAATAGCTCGTACCTTAAAACCGACCCTGAAATCAAAGAAGAGTTGAAAACTGCTTTTGACTTTGTGAAAGAAGGAAACTTAAATCAAATTAAATTGCTCTTGTCATCAAATTCTGCCATCAAAGATTCTCTTGATGAAAACGGCTTAACTCTTTTGCATTGGGCTTGTGACAGGGGTCATGTTGAGATTGCCAATTACTTAGTATCATCTTGTGGGATAGATGTAGATTGCCAGGACACAGATGGGCAGACACCATTACATTATGCATCATCTTGTGGACATGAGGAAGTTATTAACTTCCTTTTAAAAAATGGAGCCTCGGTTGACATTTATGATGTTGATGGTTTGTCACCTGCTGATGTAGCTTATAATACATCAATCAAAGAGATACTTTTAAATAAACATGTGTGAAGATTTTATATTTATAATAATGTGGGTAATTTATGTTTAATGAAATGAATTCAAAGATGTTGAGAAATGGCTGATTTAATGTTCAAGAATGAATTTACGTGTTATAAATAAGCTACTCGATAATTGAGTTTATTTAAATCGTTATAATAACATACTGTTATTATATTGCCAATTGAAATAAAATGTTTTTATTCTTAAATTCTGTCATCAGATTCTGAGGTAACTGACTAGTCAGAGTCTTTGTGTTATACTTATGATGAGGGTCATGTTAATATTGCCAATTACTTAATATCATCATGAACTATCAATGCAAATTAGAGACAAATATGGGCAAAATTTTTAGTTTGGTTTAAGATAGATCCTCTTGTGGCAGATTGATGTTTTATCATCTGCAGATGTAATACATTAGATTGTCAGTGGTCTGGGAATGGTTTTTGGGCCAGTAATCAATGTGAAGGGATGGTATAATGTTTTGTCTTTAGTTTCATATTTTGTTCTGAGTTATTGCCTAAAAATTGCATAGTTCATCCTAAATGTAAACCCTATTCATTCTTTGTATTATAATTTTTCATTAAAATTTACTTAATTTTTGACAAAAAATCTAATTGAGACAGATAAATGGACGAGTGACAAAGTGTACAAACTAGTGATATCTTTTAGTCCATGGATCAGTGTCTAAATTTTCTTAATTTCTATTTCTGCATCAATCAAAGAAATGCCTTTAAATAACGAAGAAAAAAAAATCTGAGAACTATCTATATAATATGGATTCAGGGAATAATTAACATGTACTAAAAAAGGCATTGTATGTTTACAAATTAAGTCTATTGAAGTTGTTAATAGCTAATATTCAGAGGATATATTTATTGAGTGTTTTATTTATTATCACAGTGCAAATTAATATTGTCTGTAAATTGTTCTGTAATTTAATTTTTAGGTAATGTAAAAAAGTTATAGTACTTCTTGATTTTCACAGCAACCGCTGCTAGAACGGATGCCAAGAAAAATGCCAAGTTAGAATTATTCGCAATTAGTTTTTGTCCTCCATATCTCCGCGATTGCATTCAATATTAAATCAAACAGCTTGTCTTTCCCATAGGATTTTCCTCACATGAATTCTTCAAAATATGAAGATGACAAGTGGTGCCTCTTTGCCTTTTGCTCCTAATATAAAAAAGGGTATTTTTTGCTGACAATTTTTTATAATTTACCTCCACAATCTTTTCTTTACTTAGAATTTCATTTATCACCCATATTTGATAGCGAGGTAGTACCTCTTTTTCCTGGAGAAAAGAAGTGGCATCATTCTCACTCGGTGAATTAAAAATAGTCAAGCCAATAGCCCATTGTGCAGCTCTAGTGCGACGTAAATGTACAACAACCTAAAAATAGTCAAATTTTTTTTCTTTCCAATGTTTTAAATGGAGAAAATTAAATTACTATATCACGTGGTTGGAATGCAAAGCCTAAATGGAAGTGCGGTCGCTGTGAAAATCAAGTAGTACTGAAATTATTTGAAACTATCTCAAAAATTGTTCATTTGTTAAAATCTTAAGAGAATGTATATAAAGGTTATGGCTCTTTTTATTTTGAGAAACTTAAACTTGCTCAAGTCATTTTTTATGGCCAATTTCTAGTCGGAAAGCTTTGTGATAAGCCTTGAAAAAAAATTATTGTTGAATGATAAATTTAACATCTTAACCTTATAAGGTTTAGTTATTGAATTGTGTTTGTTATAACCATTTTATTTTCATTTTAAAAATTAAACTTGATAATGCTGCCATATTCTGTTCTATCGTAATTTTAAACCGAATTTATATTCAACAGTTAGCTTAAGTTGCATGGTATTAAAAATCATTGATAAGTTATATTTGTCATTGTGCTGTATGATATGAGAAGTTTAACTTGTCATTTTTTAAAAATAGTTAGAAGATTCTTAAAATAATGTTTTGTTGTTGTTACTAATTCCACTTGCCAATGCCAGCAAGCCTACTATGGAAATCAAAGCGAAGGGTGCATTTCTTGTTTTTAATGACGCCATCTATGGCATGTTAAATCTGTCGAGTCGCAAAGTCCTCCATGTTCCCATTACAATTCAGTACCTCTGGGCATACTGCTCCTTGAGTTTCCTTGTCTTTTTGATTGGTTCAAAATTACAAGGCTATGGAGTTGAACATTAGTAGTCGTAAACCCAAAATTGGGTCGGCTGTTCAACGGGTGCAAATAAATTCAACTGTCTTTATTTTTTGTATGTTGTTAAAAATAAATAAATAGTTGAATGTACCTACTTCTGACTAATTAAAAGGTACTTGAATTATTCAAAGCTATATAAATTATGCAAACTGTTTAGCATTGAAAGAAAGTGATTGTTGAAATTTTTTTATTATTCATTATATCAAAATTATAAATGTTCATAATATGTACTAATGTTTCTAATTTTGCAACTACTGTTTATAAATTGCAAATGAATGTTAGATGTATAGATAATTTAATGTGTTAATTTATGCAGTTTTATTTGATTAAATTTTCTGTCCTTTGTTGAGAATGATGTAATAGTATTGAATTGTAATTTATGATAACTAATTGTGTCAGGCGAAGTTTGGTCAAATCCAAGCTTCATTGCCATTGTATGTAACTTGCAGTTATTTATGTTATTTAATTCAGGTAAGCTTTTATCATTGCATTTAACTTCTGAAACAAAATTAAAAATGCAGAAAAAAACTTAGCTATCAAGAAGAAAATCAATTTGCTCAGAAATTTTAATGATCCTTATTCATATATTTTAAAATTTGTTGATCATTTTGGTACAGAGATTTTTGGTTTATACCTAGTTGACAGATAAGTACACTATATTCATTAAAAGTACTAATAGTTAAGTAACAGTCAGTTAATATATATATATTTTTTTAAAGTTACGATTAGTGCTTCCCACTAACATTCATTTCAGAATTTAGGACAAGCGAAAAAATTTCTGCTTTAAATATTTTTCAACCATTTATTTTTGATTTTTTTCTATTTTAAATATATAAAATCAAATTGTTATTTTAAGTTATCATAGCATATGTATTAATTAATGATGGGAATCTAATCAAAATAATTGATTAAAAGTATCTTTCGTAAGTTTATGTGAAGTTGATATTCAAAAAAATATTTTGGTTTAATTTTGTAAAATAATTATTTATCCTGTAAGCAAATAAACGACAGCTATACAATGATTGTAACTTATAATTATCCACAAAGCATCTAAGTGTGAAAAAAATATTGTAAATAAAACCATATTTCTAAGTACTTGTTTTTGTGTTTTGATTAATTTCTATTGGTGTAAAATACAAATATTGATATGTTCGGGTTGATTTATCCATTGATGATTTCTGCCAATAATGTCTTAAGTTTTTAAGTTAATTAACATTCATTGCTAATCGTGAGAGAATTTTTATTTTTAAATAAAGTTTTGCATTTAGCTTATTCTTAGAAACGCAGAGCTGCCAATTATCGTGTTTTAATAAGGGTATCTCAGAGAGGGTGTGATAGTTCCAGAAATGTTAGTCATTTATTTCAATTAACTGTCATTGCAACCATGATGAATTCAGTTACTAAACCAAGGGTTAGTCTTATCATTCTTTAGTTTAATATAAACAATATAAATTGTCTTTGAAATAGTTACTCCAGTCTTGCTTTAATATTTACATTTGCTAAATAATATACATTGTTAGTTCTTCTGTGGCATAATTTCTTTCAGTAAAACAACAGTTAAGGCTTTACAAAATTTTTTCAATGAACTTTATGTAACTTTTTTGTAAGAAACTAATTTTTGAATTTGTTTTTAACGTTTTGTTATTTAGTTAGATAATTTTTAGTTAAATCTCTAACTTAAATTTGAACTGATCATGCTTTAATAAAAATAAATAATAAAAAATGGTGTGTCAAAAAATTTAAATTCTTTTATACCTACTCCTAGAAGTTTTCATTATATAATTTTGCAGTGTTTTCTCTAAATTTACTGAAGTAACTTTGAAGACCTTATTACATGTTACTACTCACTAGTACTACATTTATTTGTACTCACAGATGTAATTAGTTTTTATTCTCGTAAATTAGGTTTTTCGAACTAATAATTGGTTGCAAGGCTGAATTCTGCTAATTGTCCAGTCGAAGGCCATATTTGATCCCAGGGCCACATCCCTCAAGTCTTCAAACAATATTTTTATTGGCCTTCTGGAAAAATTTTTTATATAGTATTATTTCTTAGTATTTTTTATTTTCAGAAAGCCTAGATTTCCTATGTAGGTTATTTATGAAACCTAATTTTTTTTTCCTTTATTTTGAATATTTGAACTATTTATCAACAAGAATGTAATAATTTCTAACTTTGTTCACTATTTTGAAAAACTTTCTCAAATTGGCATAGAAGTAAGTACCACCAGAAACTAGCTGAGAACATGCAATGAATCTTTTTCTTTTTGTACTTTTTTATAATGATGAAACAGAATATTATCAGTAGAATAAAGTTATAATTGAAATTATTATCTAGCTGACATATACTGGGTGGCAAAAATAAAAACTTTGCCAGAAAATATTGTTAGATGTATATCAGTATTTAACTGATATGCCTGTTACTAAGATTTGTCTTATTTTGACTGATTTCTTCTGTTTTGTCATTTTGGCTAAAATGATTTTATTTGTGGAAATTCGGTTTAAATTATATTAAGCTATAAGTAGGTGCAAACCTTATTGTAGTTATTATTGAGCTATGAAATTTTCCTGAATAAAACATGAAAAATTTGGTTAACTTTTTATTTTTACTGTATTTTTATATTTACTTAACTAAAAAAAAAAATCCTTTTTCCATTTTATACTTTTTTTAGATTTGAGAATTTACAGAGATATTCTTTCTGGCATTTGTTATTAATGCTAAACTTCAGACTTGCTGATCACTTTTTAAGTCATTAATTTAAATATTTTTTTAAAATTATCCTTTAAACTGTTTAAATATTTATATCTATGTGAAAACTGGACTTGGAATGATTTGGCTCTTGTTTGATACTAAATATTTAGCTAAATAATAATCCTATGTGAAAAACTAAGAAAAGTAACCAGGTTGATAATAAAAAGAAAAACTCACTGTTAAAGGGTTAATTAAAGAAATTTTAATGGAAAAAAATTGAGTTTTGTAATTTTTAATTAAATTATACTCTGGCATCTAAATCAGTTGACAGATTAATTAAAACTACTCAAAATACGTATCTATATTGCCATTTGTAAAGAATAACATAAACGTCTATTGTCTTCAAAGAACGGTCATTATTAATAATTACTGAGGTGAAATCAAATTATATTTAAGATACAGAAATTTTATAAAAAGAATTTAAACTGGTTATATCTTCCCATTTTTTCTACTTTTAAAAACTTTTATTTATGAACTAAATGTTGATGTGAAAATGTAATTTGATTTAATTTATCATTGATGAGAATAGTGAGAAAAGTTTATCATAATGTACTAAAACTAATTTAATTGGTTTAGTTACTTAAAATTTTTTGTTTCATTTTTCAGAAAGAGGGTTATTTCCATCTGTAAATAATTTGGCTCTAAATGCCATAATTAGTGCAAATGCTACTTGTGGAGAATCAGGTCCTGAAGTCTATTGTAAACTAGTCGAACATGTTTTTATGAGGTTTGTTTTCTTTTTCTATTGTTAAAATTCTATTTCATTCATATTTATAACTCATAAAATATAAATTTGTATTTTAGAGGAAAATAAAACCATCTTATGATAAATGAATAATTGATTAAAATTTACTAGTTGTTTACAAGGTGTGGCTATTAAATAACCAGACTGTGGCTTCCACGGTTGAACTAAGCATATGCTGAAAGTGTTTGACCAAAAGCTGCGTTGATAGAATCTTTTCTCTTCTGAACGTGCACCTCATGTGAGGGTGAACAATTTAGTCTGGCCGAGTTCTTCGTTTGCATAAAAGCTGTTTTTTTGCTGGGGAAAAAAATAAATGTAATAATAAAGCTATGACTTGTGAAATTGCACATGAAGCTTGGAAAAAGCACTACTGAAACTTATCTGGCATTATAAGAAGTGTTTAGCTATGAATGTTTTGGGTCCAAGTTTTAGTGGTTAAAGCGTTTTTAAAATGGCCAAGAAAATTCTGATGTTGAACGTATGTCACGATGTATACGATGTCATGTATGGCTCGCCCTTTCCATATCAAACAGGAATGATGCCTTTTATGATGTTCTGTCTGTTCATTCATTCAATAAAGCTCATCATTTAGTTATTTATTTGTTTTGAAGTTTTCTAAATCATTAAATTTGTTGCTTTTTTAAATATTTTCTGTGATTTTTTTTCTTTCATTTTACGGACTGCTAATGCAGTGAAACTTCAATAACACTAAGTGTCATTGAAATCTAGAAATACTTCGAGCTGTCGAAATTTAGACTAATTGATAACTGAATAAAATTTGTTATTTTAAGACAATAACAGAGAAAATGAAAATCAATATTCTCCATTAAAGGAAATAGCTTTTTTCAAACACTCAAAAGGAATTTATTAACATTTAAAGTAAATATATACAACATTTTAATTCCAGTCTTAAAAACAGTTACAAAATTAGTAATAATACATTTTAAATCTTTCGAAAGAGGTCTATAATTTTCTTTTATTTCTTATTTTGTACTATTCTTTTACCCAATAAATTCTCTTTAATGTTCAGAGCACTAAATACCTCATCTTGAACACTTGACTGTGCCTGAATATATGAACAAAGAGTTTTTGCTGCTGTGAGAACCTGATGATATGCTATAGGAGGAATAATTTTAGAATCCAATTTTTCATCATTCCAATCCTCACAATCTGCATTATCTTTTTCTTTATTAATGGTTAGAAAAATATTTGACTCTGATAAACATTCAGTCATTTCAAAATTTTCATCTACTTTGACAAAAGTGTTAAAATCAATAGGCATCCAAAGAAAAACAATTCTGGAATTTCTCTTATAATTCTGGTTCAATTTTTTCTTTTCCTGATTTTCTTTATTTTGGTTTGAATCAGGTGAGATGAATTGAGCATTGCAGTAGCTATTTGAACTTGTACTTACCTTTACCTCTTCCTGGAATTTCTGAATAATCACAATGGCTTCGAGAAGATTGATATCAAGAATTTCTTTTTCTGCTTTAATGTTTCTGATTACTCGCTGGACACATTTTTTTTTGTTATAGGTTATTTATTTTGGTATTAGGTATTGCTTGTTTTGTTTAATTTGGTATAGTTTTTTTTTTATAATACCTTGCTGTTGTTGTGTTGGGAGGATGAAGCTTATCTTAATAGTTTGCAAATTTTAAGTCATTTTAGGATGGGCTGGATGATATTCAATGAATAATAAAATATTTCTCCTTTCACACTGAAATTTGCAGTCACGTTTTGATAGCCATTCTTCAGAAATTGCACTTGTCATCCATGCCTTTTTGTTGTATTCACAATTTTGGACGAGAATTTAATGCCAAAAAAACATCTTGGTTTCGCCAATTTTCCAATCACTAGTAACTTTAACTACTCTGAGGCAGTCATATTCCCGCTTTCACAGTTATTCTTTCCTAATTTCTTTTTCTCCCAACAGCACATCTCCTCTTTTAAAGTTTTAAGTATTTTTGAGTAAGCATTTTTAAAAAAAAAGACTAGTTTCATCTGCAATAAAGAGATCTTCAGAATTGTAGCTCGCTGGCAAAGATGGTAACACATTGTGAAGGTGATTTTCACAGTCAACTTAGCTACATTCGCACTTTCATTGGACCTTCATTTGCACGTTTCCATTTTTCATTCTAAATTTGTCAAACAATCCAGTACTTGCTTAAAAAGACCTAGTTCCCATTTCTTTTGAAAATTTTTCTCGTATTGAAAATGGCATTGTATGAAACCACCTTGAAGAGGAATGTTTCTCACAATTGTTTTACCCATTCAAACATAGCATTCTCCAGTTCGGGAGAACTTGATTGTTTCAAACGTTTCCTTGCAGATGTTTGATGCAACTTTTCAACTCCTTTCCTTATTTTACCTTTTCTTCCATAATCGGCGAAATAGTGTTTTAAAGACTTCTGAATTCCGCAGCGATTTCTTTTTTCTTCTATCGCCCTTTTCGCTTCCTCGATTTCTCTTAAGACGCTTTAAGTTTTTTAAATCTCTCTTTTTTTTATTTTAAGCTTTAGTAAAATTTTAAATCAATACTAATTTTACGCTGCTGCTCAAAAACCCTTATCAAAAGACCAGCAAAAGTAAACAGCTATACTAAAGCAGAAATCAGAATTCTCCCCCAAAATATGTGCTAGAATGATACAACTGCACATGATCAAAGGTTACTTATAACTATATGTTTATATCCTGAACTCATTGCACCATTTCTCACATCCCAAACAAAAGAGTAGGAATAAACATTTAAGCTTAAGACTCAGAAATTAAAATTAGGGACTCTCATTATACAAAAAGGAAAACAAAAGTTTCTTCGAATTATTGAAAAAAATCGACTTATCGAACTGTAAGTGATGTTAAAAAATTCGAAGTTGAAGCCAATATTTTTGCCAGAGTTTCAAAAATAGTTAGAATTATCAAGACTTTTAGCTATAGACATTCCAGTAATAGAAGTTTGACTGGTATTTGTATAATCTCCTGTTAATTTTTGTAATTTTAAAATTTTTTTATTTACTTCTAATGGCAAGGCAAAACAAAATATCCAAAAGACAAAAGTTTATGATGACAAAAGTAACAAGGAAAAACAATTGTGAAGGCGAGCTAAGTAATTTTCTTAAAACTTCCAGTCTTTCAGTGAAGCACTTTTTCTGAGTTGTCAGAATGTGAAGTACATTAACAGAGTTCAACTCATTAGATCTGCTCATTAGATCTTGACTCATTAGATCTGCAGAATTGCAAAGAGGGCAGCGAGTTTTTAAAATATTTCAATGCAATGGAAATTGTCTGCCAGGCTGTCATCTTCAGTAAGAAATGGAAACCATGTTACTGATGTAGATTTCTCGGGGTTGCTTAGAGATTCTTAGCATTTAGTTTCATTGGAAACCTCATAAGTTTTATCTTAATTTTTCTCAACTAAGTTAAAGTTATGTTATAAGTTTTAACTTAAAATTTTGGTTCCCTCGTAAATTAATTTTTTTTGTCTTTTTTATATTATGCGAGGAAAATGTGATGCTTAATTCAGTTTCAACACATTTTTTGGTATTAAATACCTCAAGGATTCTGTGTTCATAAAACAGTATTGACTAACTTTTTATATTTTGTTATTATTTATAATTTTTGTCTTTTGTGTATCATTTTGCTTATAATATCATCGATTCACCAGTAAAAGTTTTGTTTTCTATAATATTTATCTATTCTGTACTACATTGGCTTACCAAGTAATATTTTATAGGTATTTTATCACTCATAGGTTTTTCTCCTCAACTATTTAATTTTTATTAAAATTTTTCTTTTGAATAGAGAACCTCAATGTGGTGTATGTGATGCCCGTAGCAATAATACCGAACATAGGCACCCTATCATAAATGCTATTGATGGCACCAATAAATGGTGGAAAAGTCCTACCCTTCAAAATGGAAAGCGTTTTGAGTGGGTCACAATAACTTTAGATTTGAAGCAGGTAAAATTAATATTTTGTGGAATTAAATTATATTATGACAAGCACAATTAATATTTTAAAATAATTTTGAGTTTTTATCAGTTTTTGTAAGTTACTAAGATATATGTTTTAAAGATATCTATTTATTTATTTTACATTATTGTAAAGTGATTTAATTAACACATATAATGTTTCTCTGTCTTCGATGTCTCTGATTTCAATGTTTTGTTTTCTAACTCAGTTGCTTAAGATATATGATAAATTTCTGTAGGTATATGATATATACTGACAGATATATGATATGATATATAAGATTAAGATATATTTCTGTCGGTGAAAAAGTATTAAAGAGTCTTTTAATGTTCTTTAAATTAAAATTGAAAAAAAAAAGTTTTAGGATTTTACTGTGTAATTAAACCTTCTTTTACTAACTTTTAAGTTTTCTTTTTTATTTACATGTTAATTAGAATAAAGTTGATTTTCTTTTGCTTGTACTGAGCTCTTCCTTTTTTTTTTCTTTCAAAAATCAACTTTTCTAATCCAATTGTTTTCTAATTTTTTTTTCTTTCATTTCACTAACTTAAAAAAATGTACTTGCCACCGTAGTTCTTTTTCTTTAAAAAAGTAAAAATTCTAAAAAATTGCTTAAAAACTAGTTTAACAGTGTGATAAACTTGTCTAAATTATTTGTAATTATCATGAGTGACAAATTTAGTTGATTTCAGAGTAGCATAAGATCGTATTTGGAGAACTGAATTGTTTTATCAGCTAAAAATCTTCTGAATTGGTGGGAAAATGCTCCAATGGTTTAAAAGTGAATTAAAAACAAGTCTTTTCAATGTTTACATTAATGATCTTCCTTAGAAAATTAAAAAAAATAAAGGACATTGAATGTGCTTTATATGCTGATGACCTAGTACTATGGACTTCAGCATCTAGAAAACACTGCAATAAAATGGGACTTAGGATCAATCAGGCTTTAAAAGCTTTTTTAAATGGTCAACAGAAAGTCAAATGGAAGTAAATATTGACAAAACCAATGAATCTACAACCAACTGAAATGAACTTGATATATAATGTGTATCACTAGTGTCCAAAAAACAGAGGAAGTTACTTATTTAAGAGTGAAATTTGATAAAAGCTCAGTTGATATTAAAATGTGTTTTAAAAATTATCTATTTCATATAATAAGCATACATGTATAGTTCCTTTTTGCCATCTAATATGCTGACATAAAAATCTCAATTTTTATTGTAAAATGGTCGTGATGATATTTCTATTTTGCATAGTAAATAGTTTTATGGTTAAAATATATTGTTGAATTTCAATTATAAATATGCACTTTTTAAAATTTAAATTTGAAATTTCAGATGTTTCAGATAGCCTATATTATTGTTAAAGCTGCTATTTCTCCAAGACCAGGGAACTGGATTTTGGAACGTTCCAAAGATGGTTTGATTTATAAACCATGGCAGTATTATGCCATTAATGACGCTGAATGTTACGAGGCATTTGGGATTCGACCTACAATGGGAAAACCCAGATATAGAAGCGATGATGAAGTCATATGCACATCATATTATTCAAAGCTTAATCCTCTGGACGGTGGTGAAGTATGAAATGATAACATCACATCATTTATTGACATATCTCTTGTTTGCATAATAAATTTTTTTTCTGTTCTACATTTTAAATATTTTTGACGGTGTCATTCACACACAATGTCAGTACTAGAGTTGGAGTATTGCGAATTATGAATATTTTTTTAATATTGAATTATAATGTTCCAAAGTGTATTCCCGCAACATATCAGGAATGCCATATCTTACGATAAGGGAATCGGGAATGCCTTATTTCACAATTATTATAGACAATGATAAATATTGAATAGAATAATATTGTGATCATTACATAACCTAATACAGATATTTTATCATTACATATCTTAACGCAGATATTATATTTTATCATCAGTTAGACATTTGTTCTATTTGCTAATAAAAATTAATTTTATTGATTTTTATTATAATTTTACTTATAAAGTTTTGATTTAATTTATGAATTTAATTTTTTAAATTAAAATTCAAGCAATTAATTTTTTTTAAAAGGTTAGAAAAAGTTTGCATCTCAAACACACTATGTTATGATAGTTATTATAACTTATTAACACACATTTTTTTCTTATTGCGTTGCATATATTTTATTTTGGAGTTATATTATGTTTTCATAATATGAAATAATAAATTAATTTGTGCTTCTTCATTTATTCTTAGATTCATACTTCTCTAGTCAATGGTAGGCCTGGTGCTGAAGATCCTAGTGATACCTTAAGAGTATGTATATTATTTAATATACAGTATTTTTGCCAAATATTCAAATTTCTATCATACCTTAACACTATATCTAGTATATTTCATCAGCTTATTTATTGCATTTCAACAGCATATCTCTAATATATTTCAACATCATATCTAGTATTTATTATCTGTTGTTATTGCAATGCATTTTAACAGTGACAGGGTGCATAGCATCTTTAAAATGTGCTTAAAGGTGCTTATTTCTGATTTATATTTTGTAAAAGCCCTTAAAGGTGCCAGTGTTTTCATCGCAGAAAAAAAATGGGTGAGAATTTCTCACTCTATCTCAAAAGCAGGGTGAGATTTCAAAAAGTTTAGTGAGATTTCTAAAAATTTAAAAANCAATTGTTTAAAAAACACACACACACACACAAAGAGACTTGGAAAAGAAATCATTTCTTTAATTTAAATACATTTTTAACATCTTCTAATTTTTAAAGCATTAAATATTTTTGCTTCACATCATATGGAAAATGTTCTGCGTCTACTTTTTCATCAGCTATTCTCATTAGGTTGCTCAAATGCGTATTTGTTTCATTTTGATCGTTTCTACCCACATTTGTTTCATTTTAATTTGTCCGTTTCGGAGTGGAAGATATTGCCTTTACAAGGTATTTGTCCATCTTACATTAATGCGCAAAAAATGTGAACGTCTTACATGAAGAAACCTTACCTACGGTAAACACGTGGTTGCAGAGAAATGCATTCTGAAAGAGGTTCCTTGGTTCGGAGAGATGGTGTTCTGTTGTTCTTAAACGTTCTGAACAATACTGGTAAATAGGGAAGCTAGATAATGGGAAAGAGGGTGAAAATAATGAAAGAATCCAGGAAGTAAAGTGAAACAGATTTTATTCTAAATGGCGCAATGAGAAATTTTTTTCAAAATGCGAGAAATTCGCGAATTTTGAAATTGGTTTATAGACTGCACGAATTTCTCGCGGTAATAATTTTTTAATGCCAGAAAAGAAAAAAATATGCGAGATTCTGACGTTCTCGCGCTGTAGTGAAAACACTGGGTGCTTTTTTTAACCAGGGTTTGTAAAATGTGCTTAATTTTCTATTTTTTAAGTTTTATAAAAATATTTTTGAATTTTATAAATTATTTATGTTTATAAATTAAGAACTTTAAACGATGGAAGAAAAATTTTTTTGTTACTGCACAGATCCTAATTATGAATTTTTTTTGGAAAGTGATTAGAAATATTTTTTGGGAGCTTAAAAAGTACTTAAAAGGTGCATATTTTTTGTTGAAAAATCTGGCTATGCACCCTGCGTGAATATATTTCATTATTTTAATTTAGATATTTTTGTACAAATAATATTTTTCATTAATTAATCAAAATTAATTAATGATAGTAATCCTTGAGATACTTTTAGACTCAGAATTATATTTTTTTGTGGAAATCACTTACTATATTCAAATTTGTAAGTGTAAATTAAAAACTTTTGTATTTGTAGGAATTCACCGCTGCTCGATATGTTAGATTACGACTGCAGAAAATAAGGACTTTAAATGCTGACCTCATGACAATGCAATCCTATGATCCTCAAAAAATAGATAAGTCTACTACCAGAAGGGTAACTAAATTTATACTTTAATATTGTTTTTATTGAAGTAAATTTATCTAAAACGTTAAATTAACTATGCATACTTTCATGTTTGCAGTATTTCTATTCAATCAAAGACATCTCTGTGGGAGGTCAATGTGTTTGCTATGGTCATGCAAAACAGTGTCCTCTTACTCCAGAATTAAAAGTAAGGCTTAAATTGTTTTTGCGTTTCTGCTTTTTCATCCTGTTCTTTTATTTGTAGTCATCGAGTCACATCTGCTATTTGTTTTTTAGTTATTTCAATGTAAGTGCGAACATAATACGTGTGGTGAAAACTGTGAACAATGCTGTCCACTCTATCAGCAAAAACCTTGGCGACCAGGAAATCTCAATGATGGAGCTGCTTGTGAAAGTTAGTATTTTTTTCTTTGTTTTAGAGTTAAATCAGGGTGCAATATTTCCTCTTGCCAGCTTGCCATTGGCCACCGATTGCTTAGGGCTGGGGAGTATATTTTTTCTTTTAAAATGTTATGCTTAAAATCAAACTACCATATTTTTCCTAGAGTTGTGAATTTTCAGTTGGCAAATTTTAAAAACTGAGACCAATAGTTTCAGACTTTAAGAGGGAGATTTTTACTAAGTATGCAAAGATGTGCATCAGAGAAAACTGTAGACTTTATCGACATCTCTGCATGTTTTTGATGTCTTGTTTGCCTTTAAAAGAAAAAATTCTTGAATTTGGGATAGAGGAGACTAAGAAATTCTCCATGTAAACCCAAATCTCTTTAAAGAACAAGTAGATCTTGTGTTGACAGAGTGGGTAAAATTTAAGTTTATGTTCTCTTCACTAACATTGATTCAGGTCTGGAGCAGTTTTAACTGTAAAGAATGTTGAGCTGGATTCCCGAATATGCCCCAGATTATAATATTTTTGTGCTATTCTACCCGTGATCACTTCCGTATAAGAACATTTCACATAAGAACATTCATTTTTGTTCTTTTTAATTTTCTGATATTTTTTATATTTTAATAAATTTTTAGGATATGTGGATAACATTAGAATCATTGAAACTTTTTTTAAACTAATATCAATGGATTTTAGCAATAAATATGTTTTAGTTAGTCATTTTCTACATTATTTTTATAGTTCTGGTTACCAAAAAGTTCTTTATACTACTTCTGTTAACATTTTGAATGTTTATATTTTTAGAGAAAATAGGGATTAGCAAAAATTTTAGTCCTAGTACTTTAAAATTGAAATTTCCTACGCCTTGTTAATTCACAGTTTAAAAAACAGTCATTATTGAAATTTCAGAGTTATTTCAAAAGCAATTGTCAAATTATTTTAAAGAAGATAATTTGCTTTGAATTTTTTTCATGACATTCACAAATTGAGTTTGAAAACCTTGCAAATATATGCAACTCCTTGTTCTATTTTACTGTCCTTATGTTTTTTCTATAGGCTGTTGTGCAATATTTAACGACTGAAAATTTTCTGATTTTGGATTTTAATGTATTTTTTTTTCACTCTTGACACTATCTGAAATGTAATAAAAAAGTTAGGGGGTTTAAATATATTTACAAACTTCTCAGCTAAGTTTTGTCATAGATGAGAACTTTGGACTGATATACAGTAACAGAGAAACAATATATAAAGCTGTTTAGAATGTAATATCAATGTGTAACAATATTACAATAACAATGTATACAGCAGTTTAGAATGTTACATCACTGTATAACAATGTATAAAGCCATTTTTTACTGTAATATTTCTTTTTCTAATTCAGTTGATTTTGTTGATTAGTTGATGTTTTATCATTGATAAAAATACTCAGTTACCATACAGAAACTGCATTCCCCTCTCTCTGTTTATGCTTATACTATGTTTGTTGTATCTGTGATACTTTAGTTTAATGGAGTATTTTATTCCTTTGCTTGGCTTTTTTCTTGTTTCTTTTCTTTTCTATAAACATTAAATTGTACTCAATTGTTGCCTTTAAAATTTTTTGCCACTTCATTTTCAAATCTTTGATAACGTTTTCGATGTATTGTCGATAATCTTAACTTTTTGTAAAAAAAAAATTTATTTTATAAAGTCATTTGATTCTCAGTAAAAACTCAATATTTGATTTATTCCCTCCTCTATTACGATGTTTTTAAACCAAGGATTTTACTATTTATACTTTAATTTCGAGATTCTTCATATTTAAATTTTGACTTGTTTGTTTTTTACATTTCTAGAGTGTCAATGTTATGGGCATGCAGATATTTGTTTTTATGATCAAACTGTGGCTGATAAAAAGGCAAGTTTAAATATTAATGAAGAATATGAAGGTGGAGGAGTGTGTATAAGATGTAAGGTAAAGTTATTTTATATTAATCAGTACTTAATTAATTAACTACTTTTTTACATTAGAAAGTGTATTAAATAAAGTAATTTTTGTATTTAAAATTTTCTTTCAACAATTTAATCTAAGAATGTTGTCATATTCAGTTGTATAATCACTTGTGTCATTATTCTACTGATTTTAGCAAGCCCTTAGCTATTTTTTTCTATTATTATTATTATTTCATTCATTATTATCTGGTATTATTATTTTTCCTTTTTAATAAAAAGAAACTTGTTAGGGATTATAAAGTTTTGCAATTTGAGGATTCATATATATAAAATTTTTTGACATTGATCTGCGTAATAGAACTTGTTATCCACACTTGTTAGAACTATTGCTTGTTTAGATGACTGAAATTTGTATTACATAAATTCGAATTGTTAATGACATTTCACACTATTTTTGTTGACATAATCAAAGGCAATGTTGTGTCTTCCATTTGTGTTATACTGGAATTTTGAAAATTGTTTGTGTTATGGAGCAAAGTGATATATACATTTTAATGTTTTGTTTCTAGTGCTATATTATTTTAAAGATTGAGGCTAATCATGTTGTTAGTGGATCACTTTCTGATTTTGTATTCCCGGACTTAATTTCAATAAGTTCCAAACTCATGTGTGAGTCATAGTTTTTTATGATGCTTCGTCAGAATTAATATTCATATGAATTATGAATATCACACTTGAAAGTTTACATTTTGAATATTATAATGCTGCTCAGTAATCATTTTGTGTTCCACCTATTTTCAATAATTGTTCTTTGTTAAACAAAATATAAAAATTAATGCATTTGACAAATTCTTTTAATTTTTAATTGTATGTATTTTTGAAAAAGCATCTAAGCCTATTGGCTATTAAATTGCATAATAATAAATATTCTTTTGTTGGACATCAAAAATACCTCAAATTTGAAAACCACCCAAGGGAAATTCAGATTACTCAGAATTTTGGATTACTGGAGTTTTTTTTGTAAATATCCCTTAAATTCAAACAAGTAAGTCTTTTTATGTTTATCTAGCAAAACCAATCTAATGATTATAATTTTTTGCAGCACCATACTACAGGAATAAATTGTGAACAGTGTGAGGATGGTTATTACAGGCCTCTAGGAGTAGAGCGCAATGATCCAGAACCTTGTAGAAGATGTAGATGCGCTGGGAAAGGTGTCACTGGTTTCTGTGTTAAAGATGATTCTTATATATTGGAAGGCATTGTAAGTGCATTTTTATTGGACTTTGGCTTGTAAACTTAATGAGTTCACTGTCTTTGTTTTCATTAAATGAAGTTCAACAATTGTTGAGTCATTTTTAAAAGTTATGTATTTTTATAGTTTTTGTATTTTATTTCTAGTTTATATTAATAGCTTGTGTTATTTTAAGCTGTACACAAAATTCGTATAATGTGAATTTATTGACATTTTATTTTTCTAATCTAGTATTAATAAATTTATCAAAATTAAAATGCTTGACTTTGATTCTAATATATACACAGAAATTGTATGTATGAATGAATGAATTGTTGAGTGCAAACAAATGATTTGATGGTTAGCAAATTAAATTAATATTTATAATTTTTTTTCTTCATTTTTATGATTCAAAATGATTAATTAAATATAGAAGGTTCTCTAAATGTTCATTTACTTTGCAAATTTTTCAGTATCTATAATAAGGTGGTGTTAAATTCAGAATCTTTGTGTAGCATCATTTTTAGAAGCATTTTCTGTTCACATAATACTAAATAATTTTTTGTTCATTAAATTTTTTCATTGAAACTTCTGTATTCTGTTTAACAAAGGAAAAAAAGAAATTATTATTTTCATTACCAAAATTTTTTTTAATAGCAGCTATTGATGCAAAATTTCAGATTTTTAGTCCTTTATTATTATAATCTTGTAAAAAATTAGATATTAACAAAATGATATTTGCTAATTGTAATCGAGAGACTAGAAGCAAGGCATAGCCATTTATTTAAATGTTTAACAAAGGAGTTTTATTAATTTATATCTGCTTTTTATAAATTTATCTTATTATTTTTATTAATTTATCCCTGCTTTAGTTTTAATGATTCTAATTAATTTTAAAATATGAATAATAAATATTATAACTTAAAATGATTGTATTTATAAACAGGCAATAGGAAATTTTCAAACACTATATACTTATTATTTTTTGATCTCTGATTTTGATATATATTTTGACAGAATCTTGGACAAAAACTTGGATTTTAAGAAATTTCATTTGTTTATTTATTTTAGTACCCAGGTGACTGTATTTGCAAAGAAGGATTTGCTGGAAGCAGGTGTGATCATTGTGCTTTGGGATATAAGACCTACCCTGTGTGTGAACCCTGTCCTTGTGATCCATCTGGAACTGAAGGAGAAAGTACTTGTGAAGGATTTTGTGTTTGCAAAGTAAAATATAAATTCTGTAAAGCTTTATTTCACACTTATTAATTTAAAGAGCAGAGGCTCTAAAAACATTTTTGTAGGATATGTGAAGGATTACAATTTGTTTCATTAATATGTTTATATCTTTTAAAAGGCTTCAATTTCTCCTTTTTATAAGATGTGTCAGCCTGAAAATTCTGCCAACATTGTTATAGAATAGTTCAATAAATTAATTATAATGTGTTAATTATTTTGTGTAATTTCATTCTGTTTGTTAAATGAATGCTCTTTTACATCAACCCAATTTTCAATATTTATTACATGTTCATGTATACTTTAAAAAAATATGTCTGTTTTGCATTTTACTTAAACGTAACTTCTATCATAATAATTATAACATATCATGTAGCGTAAAACAAACACAACATATTTGTACTGACATAATTAGGCTAAGTTCAAGTTATAAGGCAGAAAATAAAGAAACAAGCGAATGAGCCATAAAATATAAAATAAATAATTAAAATCTTGTCAACATGGTAAAATTGTCATTTAGTCTCTTAAATGCTGTACGAGATATTACAACTCATGTCCCAGAAGCACTTTTTATTGTGTTCATAATTTTTTAAAAGTTTTTATTTATCATTTGAATTTTGCTAAATTGGGCAATTTCGTGCAGATTTTCTTTAAACATTGCAGAAATGTAAGTCATCTATATTATCTAATTTCGTAAATAAAATGGACTCTTGTAAAATTTTAAATTTTTCAGGTTTGTTAGGAATTAAATATAAACTCAGAATGATTAAGGGTAGTTTTTACATCAATTCTTCTTTTTTTTTTTTAATTTAAAAAAACTATGCTTATTGCTATTTATTTATTGTATGCTTTTAGAAAAATGTGGAAGGTGCTCGTTGTGAGTACTGCAAGCAAGGTCATTACAATTTAGATGCAGAAAATTCAGATGGTTGCACTGCTTGTTATTGTTCTGGTATCACTACTAGGTGTCAACAAAGTGATTGGGGTGTAAAAGTGGTATGTTTTAATCTCTGTGTAATTTATTTATATTTAAGATTTTTTTTTTCTTTTTCACTGTAGTACTAAGCATTTTGTATGTAAAAAAATTAAATTATGAAATTTTATATGAAGAATTTTTTATTTTAATTTTTTTTATAACTATCTGTTTATTTTTCATTGAGTTAATGATATCTGTAGGCTTGTAATATATATATATATATATATATATTTTCAATCAAAAATTAAATGAAATATTCAGGTTATAATATAGTTATCAGGTCATGTTATAATGAAATATTGAAATGAAATATTTTTAATTATCTTATATTACATTATGAAGTATCTGAATACTGCAGTATATTAATTTTAAAACAGGATATGTATTTTTAAAAAGTTTTATATTTATTTGTTAATGAGAACAATAGCGTCCCCTCTGCCTAAATGGCATACGTCAACAACAACAATAAAAGTACTTCCTGAAATGTGAAATGCGTATAAATATTTCTTTAAAATATTAAATTCATAATTCTAATTTTTTTTGTTGCTTCAAATTCTAAGTAGCTGTTGTGCAAGACATCTCAAAAATGCTCGGAAATAATTTTGAGAGAGATAATTGCTTAATAGGGATTGAGAATTGCATAGTAACCTATAATCGGTAATGCCAGTGGGAGAAAGTGGTAACAGGGATAGAAGAACTCAAAAGACACAAGTGAGGGGTAAAAAGAGAACATTTATTGGACATTTGTACTATAGACATACTAGATGAGTACAGTTCATGATGTGTGACTGACACCCATATAGCATTGATTACCTTACACCAGGGATGGGCAAACTTTTTTGGTCGAGGGCCAAAAATCAAGAAAAAAAATGTTTGGTGGGCCAAGTAAGATCTTCAAAATTTAAGAAAGAAAAAAAAGCGATATACAAGTTTTAATTTAAATATTTAGTGGGAGGAAGGAAATTGCGATTTCATTTCTAAAAGTTCCTTATATTAAGGTTCGAAGTGAGATGTGCTCATTTTAAGGAACAAGGCTAAATCCTTTTCTGTTAGTCTACTTCTGAAATAATTTTTTCTAAGGTTCATAATTGAAAACTCTTGTTCACGTATATAAGATTAAGCTAACATAGTACTGATTTTCTGGGCGTGAAATTTTAAATTTTGGAAACTAGCTTTTGGTAATGATTTGTCAAACTTAGGCATATTTAGAAACAACTGCTTCAGATGATTGTTAGATTGTCCGCTCTTTGGAGCGTAAAATGCGCAGTCTGCCAAATGTGAAGTACAATTTACCTATATTAGATTCCATAAGTCAGCTCCTCAAGAAAGACAAACGCTAGTTGGAGCCAATCTACGGCTATTCTATAAAGAACTTCTGCTTTCAACATTTTACCAATAGAAGCTGTCTGTGCTAACTATTTCCATCAATTTATGTTTTGTAGAACAAAAATAGAGAAAGTAAAAATGTCATCAGTACTTTGTTAAAAAAGGAAAAACAGAAATAATTTTAAACATAATAGACAATAAAATGGATGTATATTGTTTATATTTGCCGCTGATCGGCAAATAAAAATTCTATCCGCGGGCCGGATAAAATCCTCCGGCGGGCCACAGTTGGCCCGCTGGCCGTAGTTTCCCCATCCCTGCCTTACACAGTCACATGTTGGGGGTTTGATAATAGAAACATTACAGATGCTAGTTATGGGATTCATTACAGACTTCATAAGCTTAAAGCTTATGGTAATTGCTTTAAAAGTTCTCAAAAAAATCGAAGTTCAATAAAATGGGTCAGCATGAGAACATCAGGCAATTCTCACTTCTTGTGATGAGAATCCATCAACATAATGGATAAACAGAGGAACCCCATACAATTTTTAATCCTTATGATGAAAATAGATGGAATGATAAAAATCCATCAATAAAATGGATCAGCATGTAGACACCATGCAAATTGTGCTCTACCATGCCTAAAAGTTTATTGCATGGTAAATAATTCACATAGGGCGTCTTATACAATATATATATAATGTAATGGTACTGATTCATATTAAATATATTTTGCATCAAAGTTTTAAACTGTTTAAATTTTTTTCTGAACAGATTCAAACTCTCGATGGATGGACAGTGAGTGATATTTTTGGTCTTCATGTTGCCCACCCATTATACGAAGGTGATTATCTGAAAATTACAAATGAAGCCATGCTTGGTTTTGACAATTACTACTGGTCTGCTCCACCTGAATATCTTGGCAAAAAGGTGGGTTAGGGTAGGTGATGCAAGCGTTTGTTTTTGTTTTGCACATATATATTTTTGAAATTCTGTCTTTTTTCCCCCTTCTCTATTATAAGATTTGTTTACTTTTCATTAAGTGTCATATTTTTCAAATTGCGTTTATTGCAAATTTTGTTTTGGAAGTTTATTTAAAGAAAATTGCATTAATTTTTTTGTTTGCTTTATTATTTTCTATAAATTAAACTTTTGTGGTGCGATTTTTTGATAAAGCAAAGAAATTTTGATTTTATATTATTTATGAAAATGATATTTTTTGTTGCTGTGGGCTTCCATTAACTTTTAATTTCAGAGAATCCACTGGAATATTTTTTAATATTATTTCATAGCAAGAAAGTGTGACCATTTACTAGTGCATTTAATGTGGATATCTTCGAAAATATGTTGTAGAAAAATCAAGCATTTGATTTTCATGATCACTACCTTTGTTATTGCTCTATGCTTTGCTGTGTTCTAAGATAAAGTGTACTGTTTTACAGCATGTAAGTAGTTAATTTTATAAAAAAATCGGCAGTAGTTTACTAATGCTTATTTTTAAGAAATGCACTGGATTTAATTTTTGCAATCGCCTCAATTTTCATACAATTGGACCCTGTTTATACTGAAATATCAAAGTTGGAATGGGAAATATTTTGAGTTTTGTATGAATAAAGCAAAACAATGTAAATAAAATAGACTTAAAGGTACAGAAATTGCCACATGTGTGTCTCGTTACCTATTTACTATCATATTGTGCTCAGACATTGAGAAAGGTTTTTGTTTATAAAACCAAAACTATAGTAGTTTCATGTGCATTGGATTATTTGGGGATCTTCTGAATATATAATTTTATTGAAAAATTATAATAACACATTATTGAAGAGCAAAGTAAATGAAAGTTCTAAATGTGATTTTAGTTATTTTTAAAAAAAAGTTTTTTTAACTTTTAAATTATTTGTTTAAAGTTTTTTTATGTAGATAATAAGGAATGAAGATTTTGCCATCATTTCTTGTCCACAAGCTTTCAATTCGCAAAATCTGTTAAATCCTTAACAATGAATTGTTGGGGAACAATTGGTTGAATAGCATTAGTACTCTTGGTATTTTAACTTGTTGCAAAAATCGTGGCTTTTTAAAGATACTCATCAACTGTTTGTTGTCAATAGCAGTTGATACCTTCTTCCTCTGACACTTTCATTTTTTTAATAATTAAGAGACTACTATTGAATGTAAAAGATTTTCCAAATTATTTTTTTTAATAGATTTCTTGTTTAAATTTATTATCTTTTTATGTACATATTCTTAAGTATAATTATTTATTGAAATTTAGCTTAATAAGTTGTAGGTACATGACATAAAGTAGTGATATGTTGTCATGGTGGAATATCAAAAAGGAATAAAATGTGGAATAAATAATGTAATAAGATTTTGTCTTTAAGTATGTATGTTTGATGATTAATATATGATGTGTTTACCTTAATTTTTGCTCCTGTGACATTAAATTAAAATTCAATAAGTTCCATAGTATGCTCTCAAACTGTTTTAGCTTTTTTTTAAAATGTATATTCAGTCCGTTTTTGATTAATGTACAACAGCATTTCACTAAAGTTGTTTTTGTCCATTTAAGTTAAATTTCATTTGTATTTATTTTATATATATTTCTTCAGCTTTATTCTTACGGAGGAGAATTGAGATATGTTATTGGATATTCTGTAATTGAAGATGATGGTGTTCAAAACGATGCACCAGGTATAATATTGGAAGTAAGAAACGATTATGATTTGTTTTTAAATGTGCGATAGTTTAATGATTTCCTCGAAATTATGTGTGAGGTTTTCAATTTAATAATTTTTCCTTTAGAGCGATATGATTCGAATTGGTTACTACTTTGGATCACGTAAAATTCAAGGCAATATAACAGTGACTCTCCCACTTCAAGAACGAGCTTGGTCCCATTTAACAGCTGCTGGAAAAAGAAATCGAGCAGTTTCCAGAGAAACATTTGCAGCCGTGATGAATAATCTGTCAAAGATTCTCATTAGAGCTAAATATCATTCTGATCAAGTCATTGGAATGTATGTATTGAATTTTGGAAATATTTCCATTTATATTCATTTATGTACAGTCAGTTATAACAAAGCCCATTTCTTCATTTTTATTAGCTGCATCAACTCACAAAGTGTTAAAAGTGCACTTGTATTTATGAAGAATTAAATAATAGATGCTTTAGATGGCAAGTTTCTTCCACAGTGGAAAAAACTGCCCTGTAAGAAATAGGTTTCTTTCAACCCAAGTGGAAGAAATGAAGGAGACTCTTTTTTTTAAAAAGAAATATCTAATATTAGTACAGTATTTCAAAACAGTTTTTAATTGCAACCTAGTTTAAATAATGGTATTAATTTTCAAGCTATTAAATATATCATTTTTAAATGTGCAAAAACTGAAAAGCAAATAATCATAAAAAAATTAAATTTAATGAATTTCTCAAGATATTAAAAAAAACTGTAATTTAAAAATGTTGTATGTAAATAAGTATAAAGCCTGATTTCATAATTGTACTAAGAATTGTTAAAACGACACAGTCAAATTTTATTACTGCTACTAAATTAACAAAAACATACTACTGAAAAACACGTTGAATTCACAATCATTTATACCGTACAAATATTTTAATCAAATCCTGATAAGTATGAAAACTCAAACTGACTCATAAATAGCATAATATATTTAAAATTCTAAAAAAATATATTTTTTAGGAAGATAAGAAAAACTTTTAACTTTATGATACTATATTAAATTTCATTTCTTTAAATTTGAGCTATTCTTATAATATTTCAAAGTATTTTTACTGACCATTTTTAGTTTCTTTCTGTGTCCTGGAAGTAATTGGTTTCTTTCGGAAGAAGTGCCTATCCTAATTATGTTTCTTCAAGAAGTCCCTATCTTAATTAAAAAGTACCATATAACTATAATTATGCATTTTAAATATTGGTAATAGGTCAATGAAATTATAGTAATGGACTACCATTCCTTCAAAGGATTCTTTGCTTGTAATAACTCTTTACCTAAGTACACTCTGAAATTAGATTTCTATTCTTCATATTTCTTACTTTTTTTGTATATAATGATCTGTTTATGTTTCTCATACCTATGTTATTTTTCAGAATTATACTCAGTCTTCAAAAATTTAATATTCTGTAGAAAATTATGGGTTTTATTGGTTTTACTGCAGGCACGGGTTGGACAAACAAGTAATTATTCAATTAACTTTTCTACTAATGCCAGGTCAATTAAGCCGTTCTATTTAAGCATGTTGATGATAAACAGAGAAGTCGAACAGATTTCTTTTCTGCTGAGTCCAAGACAGTCCAATGTATATGTAGGAGTGGCCTGATGAAGCTGGCATTTATGACAATGGGGAAAGGGTTTTACCCCACCAGAGAATTTTAGACGTATCAGGTGACTGCAAGCGAGGCACGATAGGCAAATTTGAGTATCTCTCTCTCTGATGCACTCGCCATGTGCCAGTAGTTGGTGGGGAGCAGTAGCCAGTTTTTTTTCAACAACAGATTTTTTGATACAGTAGGGAACCGATTATCCGGAACGGTCGGGACAATCGCTATTCCGGATAACTGATTTTTCCGGTTTTCTGAATCTCTACAAAAAGCCGTTTTTTTTATTGTTGAACCCAACTAAAAAAAAAATATTTGGAAATAATTTTAAAAATAAGAAAAAACAATGAAGTAATACACTAATGATTATTTCCAAAATGATGGTAAGGTAAACATCTTTAAAAAAGAAAGAAAAATCGTAAACTCTTATGAGGAAAAAAAATTTTAAAAAAAATGGCGAGAGAATTTATCGAATTTCGTTCCGGTTTTTTGGTTTTCCGGTTTTCTGATTTCCGGATAACGGGTTCTGTACTGTAGTTCCATAATTGTTAGTTTGGTGGTATTAGAAGACTTGACAGCAACCTTCTTTGGCAAGTTTATCTGCTATTTCGTAGCCATAAATACCCACATGTTATAGCATCCAGCGTCGGTGTATTTCGTGGTGTTGTGAAATGGTTTTTAGTTTATTATCGATGGAAATACTTGTACGGTCACCAATATTTAAACGGTCTTTCAGATGTTGGAGTGCACTGTGGCTATCCGTCAAGATTCATATGTCTTTAAAGTTGTTCTCTTCAGTGATTACCTGAAGTCCAATCTCAATTGCAAAGAGTTTACTTTAAGACAGAGCTAAAGTTACATCAGAAAAGGAGATATTTTACATTGAGTAGTTTCCATGTAAATTCCACTCCCTGCTGAGTCTTCAATTTTACTGCCAATGTAGATTTTAATGGTTTTAGAAATGTTATTAATGACTTGCAAAGCCAAATGCTTGAGATGATTTGAGATGAAATCTTTTTTATTTACAGAAACTTTTATTAACTTTTAAAATAAAAATTAACCTTTATTGATATTTATTAAAATTTTTCAGTCTTTATAATGTAGAGATGGAAATCGCTGATCGTGGATCTAGCAGTTTGAAGAAAATGGTTACTGTTGAGATGTGTGAATGCCCTCTAGGATATTCAGGCTTATCGTGTGAGGTAATTGAATTAATTTTACTGTATGTCTTTTAATCATATTTTTTAAAACAAAATAATTCAATTTTGTAATTGTTCTGTAATTTTAATATAATGATAAAAATATTAATTGTTTTTGTATATTTTTAGATTTGTGAAACAGGTTACAGAAGGGTAAATGAAATTTTGCATAAAGGTGTTTGTGAGATATGTCAATGTAACGGACATTCATCTACATGTGATCCTTTTACAAGTTATTGTAAAGTAAGACATCTAGTTCTCTTTTTAGATTTTTTGTATATTGCATATTTCTACGTAATATCCTTGTAACTAGGGAAAAAGTGATGCACTTTAGGACGCTTTTCATATTTTATTCTCTAGATGCAGTGTGCAAAAAAAGGAAAAATTAAATGAAAATAAAAAAAATAAAAAAGGCACATACTAGGATTGAATTTTAATAGTTCAAGGAGAAGACTTCAAATACACTAATTAATTAGTGTAACTGATGTTTTCAGTTAAGAAATCAGATATAAAAACATATTTTCGCTGTACAAACATACCTTTTTTGTGGCAGATTCGGATTTCTGTTTGTGGATTATACTTTTAGTTTGCCGTTAGCCTTTTTTTAAAAGTAGTCTTGTATATGTATACTGTACCAAAAAATGTCCTGAATTTTTTAAAAAAATATTGTCCTGATTTTTTCTTTGACCCACTATGAAGCCTGCTTATCCGCATTGCTTAAAACCCTGAAATGTAATGGTTATTTTCAACATTGTGAGTATTTTGACAAATATGTCAAAGAAATCAATACTTCGTCTATAAATTATTCACTTGCTAGTCTTGACAAATTTGTGAACAAAAATAACTGAGATTCTCTAAAATTAAATTTAATTTCTATTAACTTACCAAGTTAGCTAAAAAGAAGATATTACCAATTACATTTATTGAGAAGAGAATTAAATGAAGTTTAAATTTAATTTTAACTAAAGAAAATATAAATTTCAATAAAAACAATGTTTAAAATCGCAAATGATGAAAATTGATAAAAAATCTATACACGTTTTGGCGTCAAGGTGGTTTAACTTCAATGGCAAAAACGGTATAAACAGCGATGATTAAATTCCCACAAAAGCTATGTCATGATAATGACCTAATCTCTAAATTTCATGTAGAAAATATGTTTAGCTTATTTTTGCACGAGAAAAGCAAATCGCTGTGGTCAAACTACTTCTAGTTTTATCTTAATAAGTATTTTGAATGAGAAAAATCGATAATGTACCAGTTTGATTTCTATTCCCAGTTTTCATATATTTCTTTTAAATTGTTGTTGTAGGTACTCTTTTTATTGTAATTCTCCTATGTATGTTAAAGCTTACCATATTTACTTTTTGAATCTTAAATTCAGAGTTGTGCCCACAATACAACTGGTCATCGTTGTGAGATGTGTAAGGAAGGATTTCATGGAAACCCTCTTCGAGGTAGCCCTGAAGACTGCCAACCTTGTGCATGTCCTTTGTTGAATGAGGAAAATAACTTTTCTCCCACTTGCAAAGATATTGTTACTACTGAAGGGGCTACAGACTACATTTGTACTGCCTGCGCTGTTGGTTACATTGGCAATAAATGCCAAAGGTAAATTTTGTAGTTCTTTTTAAAATGAGCTCTTTCTATTTCATATGTTTGAAAACTGAACTTGTTTTTCTATTCTATTCTATTGTTTTGATATTCTATTTGAAAACTGATTTGTTTGTGTATTCTATTTCATGTTTTGTTATATTAAATTTAAGAAATTGTTTTACTTTTTGAATCTATAGGCCCTTGTGATTTTTCAAAACTTTCAAATTTCTGGATTTTTTAAAAACAAACAAACTAAAAGCAGAATAGATTTTAATTTTATAAAAATGTATAAAATTAATCCTGTGTTTTGCTTAAAAATCTACTTCTTATTTTAATTTGTAATTCATTATGTTTGTTTTGTACAACTTGATAAAAATCTGACAGTAATATTTAATGTTCCTTCAAACGTAAAAGAGTCCTATATAAAATTTTGATAAAGTTGCGGCCAGCTATTTGACTGGTGCTTTAATTGCATCTCTCAGGCTCATGTAAGTTGGAAACCCTTGATTTATAAGATATATTAAGTTTGCACTGTTAGCTAATTATTTAAGTTATATTTAATTTCATACCTTATGAAAAATCTCATAAATAAAATATTATTTTATTGAATTTTTTACAGATTATTTTTTAAATTAAATAATGGTTTAATTATTGAACAGTTGATCATTAATGTAAAATTTTAAAATATATATTTATAGTTCCTCAATTTTTTTTCTTGTTTTTTTATGATTTAGGTGTGCTCCTGGTTACTTTGGTACTCCAGGCACTCCAGGTGGATCTTGCCAGCCTTGTGATTGTACTGGAAATGCTGACACATTTGATCCTACGTATTGTGACCATATCACTGGACAGTGCTTGAAATGTATTGGAAATACAGGTGGATGGCACTGTAATGAGTGCTTAGAAGGACACTATGGCAATGCTTATCATCACGTTTGTAAACGTAAGTATGTTTACTTTTTTTATTTTTAGTATTACTTCATTATTTCTGTGTCTAAGCCATTTTGACACATGTTTTAGAGTTAAATTATTAAGGTTAACTTTTATAGAAGTTTCCCCGGGTTTCAGAAAAGTATCAAAAGGTAGCCAGAAATGCTATTTAATTATTAAAAATAAAAAGTGCATGAACTCGGGCAGCTTTTTTTCTTTGCATTGTTGTATAAAATACTATTACAGATTGCTTAAGTGAGAATACTTGTTGCTCATCTTAGTTATTGTTAAAAGTTCAAATGTAACTACAGGAACGATATTTTGTTGATTTTAACTGCGGTCATTAAAAAAAAAAATTCCTTAAAATAAAAATTTTTTTACTAAATTTTATTGAAATTTGAGATCATCTTTTCTACTTTCGTTTTTCAATAAAAATAACTTTCAAACTATAAGAATGGTCAGTAATTTAGTAAAGTTAATTCAGTTTTTTCCCTGATATATACTCCAAAGATTTATACTTGCTTTTTTATGTAAAGATAAGAAACAACGTGATAGATAGGGATTTTGAAAAGTTTTATCCAAAGAGCTATTTTGATGTTATTGCAAAATAGTATGTTCTCCTTTCTAAAATGCTATTAAAATACAATAAAAATAGTCATCTTCTACCGACCAATGGCGATATTTTGATTATGATAAATATTTATTATAAATAGCATTGAAACAAAAAAAATGGCACTTTATATGAAAATTTCGGTGCCATGGTGATTAATTTGTACTTCTTACTTTTTTACTTTTTTTTACTTAGATTTTTATATAAATCCTTTTGACAAAGTTGCATTACTTTCTTCATGTACATATTCTCTAATTCAACGAACTTCTGTGTTTGATTCTAATATTTATTATTTTTTCTGTTACTGCTTTCATTATTTTTAAAGGTAACTATGGATTTATGTTTATCTGTTATAAATTTTCTATGCTTTAACTTTTTATGCTTAACAGCTTTCATAAAAATTTAAAATCATTAAAATATCTATCTTTAAATAATAAAAATTTAAATAAAGTTTACATGGTGTTTTACACAATGGTATGTTTTATTAATAGGAAAAAATAAACAAATTTATTATTTTATTTTTTCTAATATGAATATCCAGACAGAACTAAAAAACTAATGCGTCTATTTATATTATTGAATCCTAATTTTTTATGTGTAGTGTCAGTGTAGTTTTTATCATATAATTTATCCTTAGAAGTTGTTAAATTACGAGTAAAATTTTTTTTTGGTTAAGTCATGAAGAACTTCAAAAATTCTTAACTTAAATATCTAAAAATTTTCCGATTTAGGAATTAAAACGAATGTTAATATTGTTAATGATTAATTAGATAGTTTTTATTAGTACTTATTATAATTTTTTATTTTATATGTGTATGGCAGAGGCAATATACTGAATTAAAGGCTTTAAAACAAACAAATAAATAAATAAATGCCTAAATAAATAAATGAGAAAAGTAATTTCAATTTTCTAAAAAGATTGTTACTTATAAATTAATTTTAATATCCTCTATCACAAAAAAATATTCATAAATTTTTTAATTTATACAGTCATTAAAATCAATTTATATATTAGGGAATATTCAATGTTATGTAAGTAGCACCAGAATTTTATTTTTTATCGAAATTTAATTTTGTTTATTTATTTAATACTTTGCAGGTATGTATAGATGTTTAATTAGTCTGTTTTGAAAATTTTCATTTTTGTGGCAGTGTTTTATTAAAAATTTTATTTGTCTTATTGATTTATTGTAATTTTAAAAGAGATTAAAGATTTTAAAATTTTTTAAAATTAATTGTAATTTTCGTAAATAATATTTTTCTTAAGATATATTTCACTATTAGCAAGTTATTTACTTTTCGTGTTAAATGTACTAACTCTAAAAATAGAGAAGGTTTAGAATTAATATTTTAAATTTTATTTTATTGGATTAGTAAATTATATTATATAAATGTGTTATAAAATTAGTTATTGCTAATTTGTTATTTGGATTAACTTAATCATTGCAACTTGTCAAAACGTGAAACACCATGAGTTTTTCAATTTCTTTCTTATAAGCTTATTTTCATTTTATTTAAAGATTACTTTTATATGAGTCTATTTTTTTCTAAATAGAACGTTTTTAACTTATTTAAAACATTTCCTATTGAGAAGCTCTGCTGTCGCAGAACTTTTCAGGTTAATTTTAATATAATTGTTATAAAGCTCTTATATTGTTTAGTTGTAAAATATGTACAGTGCACGAAAAAAGAAAAGGAAATGAACCACCCTGAATAACTTTTGATGTTTTGATCAGATTTTCACATTCCTAATGGCTTGAAGAGATGACCTAATTAATAAGTGCAGACAATATTTTAAGTTACGAAATCAGACTCAAAAACGTACTTTTTCTGAATAAACATACCTTTATTTTGACTGATTCAGGCTTCTGACCCCTAAGTATAGCGGATAGCTGCAAATCTGGAAAATGAGGTTCTAATAGCTTGAGTACTTTTTTAGTGAATTGAGAAACTTTTGCACACAATTATAAAATTCGTTTATTCAAAGATAATTCTAGGCAAAAAATAACTTATAGTAAATATTTTTTATATTTTTATCAGTTTATTTAATAATGGTTGGAAAAATTTTGAATTGTAAGGTCTATAATTTTTTTTGCATCATTTTAAAGAATGTAATGATACCTATCAAAATACAAAATTTGAGCAAATTTTATTTTTATTTTGCCACGTAAAGTTACATTCTTCAAAATGATGTAAAAAATTGTATACCTTACAATAAAATTTTTTTCGACTATTATTGAATAAAATTACAAAAAATAATAAATATTTACTAAAATCACCCCCTCGAGCTTATTAACAGTTCTAGAACGTTAAAATCCGATCATTAGATCAAAAGTTATTCAGGGTGGTCAGTTTTTTTCCGGTGCACTATACATTATTATTTATTTGAGACTTAAGAGTTTTAAATATGTCCATTACAATCTATGTGCAAATGTTAATTAGATTTTTAAGTAATTTATTTTAAAATTAAACATTTTCATACAATTTAGTTAACTTCTTTAGTCACTTATAACATGGAATAATGTCTTAGTTTAGAATCAGAATCTGCAAAGCTTACTTATATTCTACATTCAAATTTAATGAAAATTTAATTGCAATTTTTTAGTTTTTATTTATTATTAAATGAATTGAATTTTATGTTATAATATAGCTGTAAAAGTGATTAATATTGAAATTTAATTTAAGATTAAGCTTTTATAAATCTAATTATGAGGTGTGTTTAAAAAGTAAAAATGCATTACATTACGGTAATGATTTATTTAATTTAAAAAAAATTGCTATACATATGGCATTCAGCTCGAAGATATTGTTCTTGCTGTTGAATCTGTTTCTTGCAATACATTTTTTCCATTTGTTATGCAGATTTGGAACATTGCTGGATGAGAATGAGCCTTTATCAAATGTTTTTTTAATAATAAGCATACTTCAGATATTCACAGATTGTTTTTATTTATGGGGAAGACATTTAATGATAAAATGTAATTCAATAGGAGAGCATCATAGAAGCAGACTTTCTGCTATCTCTAAATAGAAAAGACAAATATAAATATTACTTAAAATTTTGGTAATCACTCTCCTTCATAAATTTTTTTTTGGCAAAGCTTAACTTCATATTTGATGTGATCCTGAATTTGCTGAACAATTGAAAATAATTTAATTCTAAGAGCCTACTTCACATTTGGTGTATTCCTGAATTAGCTCGACAATTGGAAACACATTTCCTACAAAAAGCATACTTCACACTTTTTGAAACCCTGAATAGGCTCAAACATTGGAAACACATTTAATTCAAAGAGCATACTTTACACTTGTTGAGATCCTGACTTGGCTCAAACATTGGAAACACATTTAATTCAAAGAGCATACTTTACACTTGTTGAGATTCTGAATAGGCTCAAACATTGGAAACACATTTCCTACAAAAAGCATACTTCACACTTTTTGAAACCCTGATTAACTGAACCACTGGAAACATATTTAATTTAAAGAACATGCTTCACATTTGGTGAGATCTTGCATTGACTCAACCATTGGAAAGACATTTAATGTAAATCAGGATTATCATACTCATAGCATTATCAAACCCACCTTTCAAAAAAGATTATATCCAGTATTGCTGAATCATCCATAACATTACCTTTCTTCTCATCTAATTCATATGCAATATATTAATACTTTTCTTACATATCTCATACAGTCCTTGCATGTTTTATTTTTAATTAGAATTATTTGTTAAATTAGCTATTTAGAACTCAGTATAGCTTCTTAAAGAATGGGCATTTAGTTGGTTAGGTAGTTAGTATTGATGGTAGTAATTTTAGATTGTGATAGTTTGCAGATGAGAACATCTCTGGTTCCTTTCAGCCTGCGGATGCCATCCACTTGGATCAGAAAATTCCATCTGTGATAGAGACACCGGGCTTTGTGAGTGCAAGCTGAATTATAATGGAAGGGAGTGTGACAGATGTGATGTAAGTTATCTATCAATTTCAAAAGGTAATTTATATGCATGAACAAATATAGCTATTCAGTTATAGAACTACTGTACATTTTAGTTTTGACTATAGAAAGACTGAAAGCTTTTGGAAATGGCAGAATAATCCAATTTCCTGAATTTTTCATGTCCCTTCTTCATTTTGTCTGGTAACCTTTTATTCCCTTTTTTAAAAAAAAATTATTTTTGCAATCGTGTGATAAACCTTTAATTTTCACGAAACTAATGAGCTTATTTATTTGATCTGTAATAGTTTTAGTAATTATTTTTTAAGAAAATGAGAAAAATAATTCTTTGTGATATGAAAATTACCAATAGTGTATATGTTGAAATTGCCGACCGGCCTGTGTAGGGGTTAGGGAACTGCCCTTGCATCAGAAAGGTTCTGGGAGGGTTCGAATCCCGGACAAGGCATGGATGTTCTTTCCTTCTCTGTACTATCTGTCCTTATTGTGGGAGCAACGTTAGCCCACCTAATATGGTACCCCTGAAAGAGAGGCCAACAAAACTGCCCTGTAAATGCCTGAATTGACGAAAAATGTTAACACAGGTGGGCATTGGAAAAAAAAATATATATATAGATTGAAATTTAGGCACATTTTATTGCAATATGCCGGAGTTGGGTTTTTGACATAAAAACCAATTATAACCATCAAATACCTACCAAAAAAGTGTCAGAAATTAATGAAATCTGACAAAAACTGTCAAAAATCTGGAAAATTTCTTTTTTGCTATTGGGAACATTTTATTAAAAGTTTAATCATGTATAATATTTACACTATAATTATAACCATAATTATAACTTATGTATAAATCATGCATGAAAAAGAGCTAAAATTATTGAAACTATAAACTAGCTTTTCTTAAAGCATGGTACTATTAATATTTAAAGATCAATAATATTTGCTATATTGTAACTTTACAGTTTATATTACTGGTAATAACTATTAGTTATTAATTGTTAGCAATCTAAATTTTAATTTTAATACCTTTAATGTCACACTTTAAACAGATTTTTTATAGATTATGTAAAACTAAAGCGGTTGAAATAATTCTTAGATCTCAACTTTTGAAATTTGTTTTAATTCTCAATATTTGTTAATACTTCTATGTACAGTCAGCAAAAAAAAAAAGATATCACCCTGAATAACTTTTGTTCTAATGATCGGATTTTCACGATCTAAGTGTCAATCTTAATGGTTCCCGGGGGTGACCTCAAATATGCTAATTAATTAGTGCTAACTATTAATTAAGTTACGAAATCAGACACAAAAACGTACTTTCTCTGAATAAACATGTATTTTTTTTTACATATTTGGATTCTAGTAATGTTAATCATATTTATTTA